TATGCCCCTGGCGATTTATAAGAGGCTGGGCATTGGAAGAGCTAGACCCACCTCTATGTTGTTACAACTGGTTGACAAGACAGTGAAACGACCCTCTAGTATACTGGATGATGTGCTAGTTTAGGTAGGGAAATTTGTGTTCCCTGCAGATTTTGTGATCTTAGACTGCAGAGTGGATGAAGAGATTCCCATAATTTTGGGAAGACCATTCTTGGCCATAGGGAGAGCTCTCATTGATTATGAAACCAGGGAGCTCAAGATGAGATTGAACGATGAGGAGATAACATTTAATGTGCAGAAATCTATGAGGCGACCAAGTGAATTCGCCAATTGTTCTCTTATTGATGTCGTGTATGTAATCGTGGAGACTGATGATGAGGTGCTAACCATTGAGGACCCCCTTGCTGCATGTTTAATGAATTTGGATGAGGTGAATGGAGAGGAGCTGGCAGAATGGGTGTTGACATTAGAGGGTAGAGGGTTATGGGATAGAACTCTCGAATTTGAGCCCTTGCACTTGGAAAATCGAGAGACTCCTCCAGCCAAGCCATCTATCGAAGAACCACCAAAGCTAGAGTTAAAGCCATTGCCCAACCATCTCAGGTATGAATTCCTTGGACCTAACTCCACATTACCTGTTATTATCTCATCTAGTTTGTTAAATGTGCAGGCGCAACAACTCTTGCAGGTACTTAAGGAGTGCAAGACTGCCATTGGGTGGACCATGACAAACATAAAGGGGATCATCCCCGCCTACTATATGCACAAAATTCTACTGGAAGAGGGACACAAACCTTCCAGGCAACACCAAAGAAGGCTGAACCCTAACATGAAGGAAGTGGTGAAGAAGGAAGTAATAAAGTGGTTAGACGCGGGAATTATCTTCCCAATCTCTGACAGCAGTTGGGTTAGCCCAGTTCAATGTGTACCTAAAAAGGGTGGCATGATGGTAGTTAATAATGATAACAATAAATTGATCTCTACAAGAACAGTCACGGGCTGGAGAATTTGCATGGATTATAGAAAGCTAAATCTAGCCACCCGAAAAGACCACTTCCCACTTCCCTTCATTGATCAGATGTTAGACAGACTGGCAGGGAGGTCACACTTCTGTTTTCTGGACGGGTACTCAGGATAAAACCATATCTCCATTGCACCGGAGGACAGATAGAAGACCTCTTTCACTTGCCCTTATGGCATTTATGCCTTTCGGAGGATGCCCTTTGGCCTATGCAACGCACCCGCCACATTCCAACGGTCATGATGGCTATATTCACTGACATGGTAGAGGACATAATGGAGGTGTTCATGGATGACTTCTCAGTGATGGGGAATTCATTTGATGAGTGCCTGATAAATTTGACGCGTGTGCTGAAACGGTGTATCGAGACTAACTTGGTTCTGAACTGGGAGAAGTGTCACTTCATGGTACAAGAAGGCATAGTCTTGGGGCACCGGGTGTCAAGCAAAGGAATTGAGGTGGATCGTGCTAAAGTGGATGTAATAGCAAAGCTACCTCCTCCAACTTCAGTCAAAGCAATCAGAAGCTTACTTGGGCATGCCGGTTTCTACCGGAGATTCATAAAAGACTTCTCAAAAATTGCCAATCCTCTCTGTAAGTTGTTAGAAAAAGATCACCCTTTCTTATTTTCTGATGATTGCAGGGTAGCATTCGAGGTGATAAAAAAGAGACCGGTCACAACACCTATCATTGTTGCCCCCAACTGGGAGCAACCATTCGAACTCATGTGTGATGCCAGTGACTACGCAGTGGGGGCAGTGCTGGGACAGCGGAAAAACAAGCTGATGCATCCAATCTACTATGCAAGTAGAACGTAGAGTGGAGCCCAGCTGAATTATACTGTGACTGAGAAGGAGATGTTGGTTGTGGTGTTTGCTTTCGACAAGTTCAGATCATATCTGATTGGTTCTAAGGTAATTGTATACACTGATTATGCAGCTCTCAGGTACTTTATTGAGAAGAAGGAGTCTAAGCCGCGCCTGATTCGTTGGGTGTTGCTGCTGCAAGAATTCGACCTTGAAATTCGTGACCGTAAGGGCACAGAGAACCAAGTCACTGATCATCTATCATGACTTGAGGGAGATGAAAATACAGTTGAGGTTGAAGATATTCTGGAAACCTTTCCAGACGAGCAGCTGCTCGCAACTAATCTTGAGAAAGTGCCATGGTATGCAGACTTTGCAAATTACCTAGCCTGCGGTATAGTTCCCTATGACCTTTCATCTGTACAAAAGAAAAAGTTTTATCGTGACTTCCACATGTATTATTGGGATGAGCCTTACCTGTTTAGAATTTGTGTTGACAATATGATCCGGAGGTGTGTCCCGGAGATAGAATAATTTTCTGTTTTGCAGGCTTTTCATGCATCGGCTTATAGAGGACATTTTGGAGGGGTCAGGATAGCTGTGAAAGTGCTTGAGGCCAGATTCTTTTGGCCAACAGTGTTTAAAGATGCGCACCAATAGGTGAAGGGCTGCAATGAATGTCAGCGGACCAGGAACATTTCCCGTCGCCATGAGATGACCATGAACCCAATTCAAGAGGTGTAAGTGTTTGATGTCTAGGGGATTGACTTCATGGGTCCCTTCGTCAGCTCCTATGGCAATAAGTACATACTTGTTGCTGTGGATTACGTGTCCAAAGGGGTAGAAGCTGCAGCGTTGCCCACTAATGATGCAAGAGTGGTGGTGGAGTTTTTGAAGAAGAACATATTCACCAGATTTGGGATACCAAGAGCGATTATCAGTGACGGAGGCACTCACTTCTGTAATAGAGCTTTCGAGAAGTTGCTTGCAAAGTATGATGTACGCCACAAGGTGGCTACCCCTTATCACCCACAAACTAGTGGGCAGGTTGAAGTGTCCAACAGAGAGATAAAGAGTGTGCTAACCAAGACTGTGAACGCCACAAAAACTGATTGGGCAAAAAAGTTAGATGATGCACTCTGGGCCTATAGAACTGCTTTTAAAACACCGATTGGTATGTCACCATATAAGCTGGTGTTTGGGAAGGCCTGCCATTTGCTAGTGGAACTTGAACATAGAGCGTGGTGGGCACTGAAACAGCTGAATCTAGACATTGAGGTTGCGGGCACAATGAGAATCACAGAATTGCATAAGCTCGACGAGTTCAGACATCTTGCTTTTGAGAGCACAAAGTTGTACAAGGAAAGAATAAAGAGGTTGCACGACAAGAACATTGTGGAGAGAAATTTCAATCCTGGAGATATGGTGTTGCTTTATAACTCACGATTAAGGCTATTTCAGGGTAAACTCAGGTCACGATGGTCTGGACCATTCAGAGTGGTCGAAGTTTTCCCTTCAGGTGCTGTCGAGATTGCCACAGAAAAAGACTCTCATACATTTAGAGTCAATGGGCAGAGATTGAAACTATATGTGTGCATGAGCGAACCAAAGGAAGTGTCTGAGCTACACCTGACTGAATCACAGAGGTCGAGCGAGCATTAAATGCGCTCATCTGCGTCGTGTCGCGATGTTAAATCAGGCGCTGCGTGGGAGGCAACCCAAGAATGTGTTGTAAGTGTAAAGCATAAAAAAAAGTAAGTAGCAGGAACACGCCCAGACCGCGGTTCCAGCGTAACCACGGTCGGACCGCGGTTCCAGCGTAACCACGGTCGGACCGCGGTCAAGGACCTCCACTGAAAGAAGTCTATCGCGGTCCCAGCGTAATCATGGTAGGACCGCGATCAAATACCCCCTCTGAAAGAGGTCTACCGCGGTCCCAGCGTAACCGTGGTAGGACCGCGGCAGACCAGCGCAGGCCAGGTAAGTGCAGAATTTATTTTTTTTCCTTTTTTTCCCCCCTTTTAATAAACCTAACCTCCCACTATTCCCCCAAACCCTTCTTTTCTTCAAACCACCCGCATCCCCCATCCCCTTCTCTCTTTCACACCATCTCCTATCCCTCAAACCCCCATTGTTGCCCCTCCTTTCTTCTCCATCTCTCTCTCTCCACAACCTATCCCTTCCATTTATCCTCAAGGTAAGCTTCTCTATTCTTTTCTCTTTCTTTTCCATAACTTAGTGTAATAAATAGTCTAAATTAGTTTCAATTACACCCTAGGTAGTGTTTTAGTGTAAATTTTTTATTTTTTTCTTTCTTTTCTTTCCTTTTCTCCATTATTTGCTTCTTTTGGACATAATTGAGGCTTAAATGGTTGGGTTTTCATTGTGCTTAACTTGGGGGAGATTTTTAGAATATTTGTAAGCCTAAACAAATTTTTTCGGGTGAATCTTGGTGGAGGGGCCTAAATGGCCGAAAATTAGGGTGTGTTGTAAAATTTTGGAGCACTTTGTGCCCTTCTTAGTTTGTGGTGGTGGTAGCATTTGACATGATTCACTTGTGGGAGATTGTGTGGGGTATTATATAGCGGAATTGTAGAATTAATAGTGGTGTGAGGGCAATAGTGGAGGTTGTCAACTTTGGGCACCTTACTAGTTGGGTATACTAGCATTGTTTGACAAAAGAAAAATGTTTGGTGCCATCGGGTGACGAAGTCTGAGTACCCATTCGACTGACACATGTTAGGATGCATCTCATTGTTACCCTGAATTGTCTGTAGGTAATATGACCCGAAAAAGGCGAAAGAGCTCGGCAAGACTTCCCAAATGCCAATATATGATGCCACCAGGTTCCAGTCACAGGAGGTAGAGGACGCGTTTCATGCTAAGGCCACCAAAAGCTTTATCCCTGAGATTCCTGTTGACAGGGCTGCCCTCCGTATAGAAAAAGCAGACATGTATGAGGAAGTCAGACGGAGGGATATGGAGTTCTTGTTTGATGAACCTGAGACGGCAAACCAGATGATAGTCCGGGAGTTCTACGCGAACTGCCCGAAAAATTTGTGCCGGTCTGTGATTGTGTGGGGCAGGGTGGTAGATGCCTCAAATCTGAAGATTCGCCAGGTCTTGCAGCTGCCCCAGTTCACTGGTGACATTGATCATTACCACGATGCCCAAGAGGTCACTTGGGACACTATGATTGAGATAATCTGCGCAGGGGGTCGACCAATCTGGCTACAGGAAAACATTACCCTTCACTCCAAGTCGTTCACACATGAGGCTAAGTGCTGGTTCACCATTATTTGCAGCCGGTTATTGCCGACGGGCAACACGACAGATGTGAACCACCTACGGGCTCTATTGGTGTGGTGCTTCATCACCAAGAAAGACTTTGATGTGGCGAGAATTATTGGAGATGAAATGATCCTTCGGTCACCCCTGCTATCTAAGGAGTTTTACTTCCCCTCACTTGTAAAGAGGTTGTGTCTGCTGGATGGTGTCCCCACCAATCTTACAGATGGAGCTTTGCCCGCAAAAACGGCATTCAGAGCTTCAAAGATCACAGTGGGCAGAGA